ATTATAAGAAATACGACTTTTTCCTGATGCATCTCTGACAGTAAGAAGTATGTTGACTATCTTTTTCACTGTAAGTTGAGGTGTTTATACAATCCACAGGTGTGCTCTACTGCGTTCTCTGATATGTCTTCATTCAATCGGCCTTTTCCACTGTGATGCTGAACACTGGAACATCCTCTTCGATACCAAATCCAAGACGTTCAAATTTATTGACCTCTGCGATAGCACGTGGCACAAGTGTCCTGGCATAGAGAGATGCAATGAGCTGGAAATAACATGGCGAATCTTAGCAATGTATTCCGATAGAAGATGGGTCAAGCGTGACATCAGGAAATTTCCTAGTCAACTTGACATTCTGGAAATGGCCATGCGTGAACATCAATTAAAGTTCTTCAACCTCAAGGAGCGCCTGATACAAGAGGGTGTCGTACGTCTGGACGAAATTGCAAAGAGCCTGAAAGAGATGGCTAATAAATTCGAAGAAGACTTGAGAATGGCATACGAATGTGATGAAGACTAGAAGCTTGCAACGCCTACACTAATCGAGGAAGTGAGAAATGTGTTGTACGGAAATTGCTATTCCCGAATGCTAGATAGAGATGTCCATTGCAATATGATTAAAGGTTTTTTCAAGTCAAATGCAACCCAGTTTAACAATTAACGATTTTGACTTACAATTATTGGTTTTAACAAAGAATGGCATCACGAAAAAGTCTTAAGTATTATACTTGCTTGTAATCTTGTATATTTTTTATATTTTATAAAATTTGTCCAATTACTTATAATCTTCCTGGGGGGTTAAGTAATAACAGTACAATGTTAGATAAGTAAGTAAGAATACTTTTAAAACTTGGCAATTTCCATTATAATTTTATAAATTGTCAAGTTATAAAAGTGATTATAACACTTTCTAAGATTACAAGACTAAGACATACTTATTTATTTGAGAAAGTATAATATCTGCTTATAATGCTTATAAGTCATTACAAGCGTTTGAATCGCTTCCTTTTGCTTCGGATACAATTTTTTATCAAATAATTAATAAAATATAATTATATTTAATTATTTAATACAAAATAATAAATGATACATTATTTCTACAGTTCTAACCCCT